TGAAGCATTGTCAACTTTCATGGTTACAGCTGAATCTGGACAGGCAGAGATGTAACTGTAACTGTGACTCGACTGGTGCGTGGAGGATACAACCACAAGTCAGTATTTCCCGGGGTTATATATGAATTAGCTGCAGATAACAGTGTCGGTGTATATGTTGGCCAATCTCATACAAAACTGTCAAACATGTTGAGATCAAGCAGAAACTGCATCTTCTTTGTATCTGTTTTTTTCCACAGAGTCCTTACGGAGGCCATGGACGGCTGTGCATGCAGCTGTTTTCTTAATGCCGTTATCACAAGATCACAAGTTAATTATTTCATTATCTCTAGTAAACAAGTTTTGTTATCTCAAGATAATGGAAAATGTCAGATCAAGGAGTACCCACTATCAATCCAATGCATCAAACTCTACTTCAGTGAAGGTCTCAGACAGGCAGAAATCCCATTTTGTCTTTTGTTTAGAGATATCAGTCCTCGTCATTAAAGGAGGCAACCGGCCCGGCTGCAACTTCACAGGCTTTATTTGAGCAGCTGGCAGAGAGAGGCAGAGAGAAGGGAGCTGGTCAGCTTCTCATCTGAAACTAAACTGTGTGCTCTAAAGATGCAGCTGCAGCAAACTGAGCTCCACATTTATGCCTTGACAGCTGTTCAGCTATGACAGTGAGCGCGTTTACATGCACACTAATAAACCGATCATTATCTGATTTCTGGAGTTACCTGATTATTCAAGTGGTCATGTAAACAGCATAATCCGAGAGGCTTTATCAGATAAAAGCCATTATCTGATTATGAGAAATCAGATAAACACAGCTAGCTTTTTCCCCAATAGTCAGATTATTCGGTGCATGTATACCCTTTAATCTGGTTTCTTTCGGGTTTTGCTATTTTATACTCCCACTCCACTACATTTTAGGGGGAAATATTGTACTTTCTACTCCACTACGTTAATCTGACAGCTTTTGTTTCCTTTCAGATAAAGATTTTACATAAAATAATATATTTTTATATTCTCAGTGTTTAAATTGTCACTTTTATTTTATCTTACTTACATGTTATGCACTTTGTATGACAATACACTTTTATATATTTCTCTTTTGAGTACTTTTACTCCGAATCTACCCAAAGTATGTAAAATTGGCTCCACATTGATAAACTACACATTAGAATTCTCTCACATGTATTTGTTAATGATAAAAACAAACAGTACTGTAAGAATATAAGCTGTCAGCATGATGAGTGCTTTATTTTGCAAATATATGACTTGCGTACTTTTCATGGTTTTTCAAGGATATGAGTACCTACTGTAACAGGAAGTTTTAGTTTTATGTCATGTATTTGAGGAGAAATCCAACTGAAGGACTGAATCATGTAAACCAGGTTTTTCTGATTATCACATTATTGAAGTGCATGTAAACGTGTCAAATCAGATTATTACCATTACCTGATTATTCCCAGTTATCTGATTATTGTGCGCATGTAACCATGCTCAGTGATGGTCAAGGCTGAAATCAGGTGTGATCAAATGATCCAAGCACTCATTCTCATGTTCTATGTAATTATACCACGATGGAGAAAACAAGCCGTTTTCTTGCGATAAATTATCTCATTATTTATTTATTTGTTATCTCGAGATGACGAAATAATTAACTTGATCTCTACATAATGGTATTTAAGAAACAAAAAGCAAGCGCAGCTGTTTGCGGCTCCCGTACTCATGACATGTCTCGGTCACAACTCTTTAACAACCAAATTTAGGGGAAACTGATGAAAATAACTGGTTCAGAGTAGTCAGATATGTTTTGACTGAATTAAATATATATGAAAATACACACTCAGGGCCTCAAAAGTCCTGTATCATTTACAGCCTCACTGAGCTGCCTACATGGCACAGTGAGAAAAAGAAGCATCTACCAACTGACCAGTGACGTGATATTTTATACGCCCAGGCTGACTGTGTTGGACTGTTCTCTATCCCAACACACAATGTTCAATAGAATCACAAACAAATGCCTTTCACACAATAGAAGCACCAGCTGACTGGACTCTCACTGGTTCCACTGCTTTCAAACAAATCCACTCTCACTGAATGACAGGAGGCTCAAATGGGCGCTTCACACAGCGTGGAAACAGTAGTTAATGAAACAATGTCAGCACAAGGGACATTTTTGGACCGTTTCATATTATCTTCATCAGCAGATGGAGTCGCAATTATGTCTTGGAGCTGCTGATGTGCTAATTTCCTTTCTTACTGAGCAGTGAAACAATAAATCATCATTTGATTGACAGCAAATTAACTGTCAACCATTTTAATAATCTATAAATCAAATGTGAGGATTTGGTGCTTTTCTTTGTCTCATGTAAAATTAATATCTTTGGGTTTTGGACATTTTTTCATTATTTCCTGTCAATTTATGGACAAAAACATTAATTGATCAGTTTGTTAAAGTGATGCACAGATTTACTGGTGATGTCAGTGATAATAAGTTCCGGCACTACTTGAAGGACAAGTCCCCAGATTGGCAGACAGATCTGCAGATGGTGGAAAGAATGTAAACAAAATGGAAAACAAATACGATGTTTATCACTTTATTTACTTATTGATTTGTTTACCTTTAGGCTGATTTACCTACAAGTCCTTTTTTTAAATCTTCCTATTAGTATTATATTTTTATCGATCCACTTCTTGTTTAACACACCCATTTATTCTGTCTACAAATTAATTCTAGCTTTTAATATGTATTTATTTATTTGTCCTATGAATCAATTTTTTATTCTTGTATTTACTGTCTTAATTTTTATCCACCTATTTATTCTGTTTTGTTTCTACTTTTTAAGTTCTATTTTTTTTACTTCTTATGAAACATTTTTCAGCCTCTGTGTTGGTGATTGCTGTGACAGGAGGCATTATGTTTTAGGGTTGTCCGTCCCATTCTCCTGAATGCAATATCTCAAGAACACTGTGATGGAATTTATTCAAATTTGGCACAAACGTCCATTTGGAGTCAACAATGAAATTATTAGATTGTGATGGTCAAAGGGCAAAGGTCAAGGTCACTGTGACCTCATCTGTCTCACTCTTGTGAACGTGATATCTCAAAAGCACCTTAAGGAGATTTCTTTAAATTGGGCACAAATGTCTATTTGGACTCAACAATGAACTGATTAGATTGTGATGGTCAAAGGGCAAAGGTCAAGGTCACTGTGACCTCACCTGTCTCACTCTTGGGAATGTGATATCTCGAAAGCACCTTGAGGGGATTTCCTGAAATTTGGCACAAACATTCAACTGGACTCAGTGATGAACTGATTAAAGTTTGGTTGTCAAAGGTCACTGTGACCTTGTCTGTGCCCTTCTTGTGAAGGCTATATGTCAAAAACGCCTTGGGATTTCTTCAAAGTTGGCACAAACGTTCACTTGGACTCAACGATGAACTCTTTAGATTTTGGTGGTCACACGTAAACATCTCCGTGACCCCGTCTGTCCCCTTCTTGTGAGGGCTTTATGTCAAAAAACACCTTGTGGTGATTTCTTCAAATTCGGCACAAATATTCACCTGGTCACAGTGATAAACTCTTTAGATTGTGGTGGTCAAACGTCAACGTCTCTGTGACCCTGTCTGTCCCATTCTCATGAACACAATATGTCAAAAACGCCTTGTGGCAATTTCTTCAGATTTGGCACAAACATCCACTTGAACTCAACAATAAATTTTTTAGATTGTGGTTGTCAAAGGTCAAGGTCACTGTGACCTCATCTGTCTCATTTTTGTGAACACGATGTGTCAAAAACGCCTTGTGGGGATTTCTTCAAATTTGGCACAAACATCCACTTGAACTCACTGACGAACTGATTAGATTTTGGTGATCAAAAGTCAAGGTCATTGTGACATGGTCAGTGTCATTATCGTGGACGTGATATCTCAACAATAACACCTTGAGTAAAATTTCTTCAAATTTGGCACAAACATCAACTTGTACTCACTGACGAACTGATTAGATTTTGGTGATCAAAAGTCAAGGTCACTGTGACATGGTCAGTGTCATTATCGTGGACGTGATATCTCAACAATAACACCTTGAGTAAAATTTCTTCAAATTTGGCACAAACATCCACTTGAACAATGCACTGATAAGATTTTGGTGGTTAAAGGTCATGGTCACTCCATTATATTATTTATAATTTTCCTCATTCATTTTTCTACCTACCTATTTGTTATTGGATTTATTTGTATCATCTACCTGATCTATTTTTTATTTACCCATTAAGTTCTGTAGTGTTTATGTCCCTCTTCCTGTCAACAACAGTTCATTTGTTTTTTAAAAAAAAACTTTATTAAGAAATACAAAAGTGCAATGACAACCGCCAGAGGGTCACATACATTCAGAGGCAACATTTCAGAATGTCATATTACACAAATACATCAAAAAGAGCACATAAATCCAAAATCTTTTTGGCTTTCATATAAGTGGAATGTCTGATAGTTTTAATATATTGTTTGACCTCATTTTCAAAGATGGAAAGGAGGGGTTTTTGATTAGTGTATCGATATCTGTGGATATGCCATTTGGCTAATAGTATAATAAGATTTTTTTTCACAGATGGATAGTCAATGAAGCAAACAATATCTGTTCAAAGCAAAAAGAAAAATGTGGTTCAATACAAGTAGAAATCAAGTTGCAAATATCTTCCCAGAATTTGGTAGACCAAAATAAATGAAAAACATCTTCAGAGTCTCCTTCACAGAAAGAGCAGTCGACACCTAGGCCTGTATCTTTTTTGAATCGTTGTAAAAAGAAATTTAGAGGGGTAAAATCTGTGAATTAGTTTAAAAGATACTTCTTTTACTTTATTAGTTATCATATATCTAGCAGGTAAGTTCCAAATCTTTTTCTAGTCAAGGTTTTTAACAGTTGTTCCAATAAGCTACCACATATGGAATTGATACGACTTCTTTCTGAAATAATGAACGTTGTGTGTTGAAGAGAAACAAATTTACAACAGTTCATCACAACAATAACAAGAGTCTCTTATTTTGAAGTCATCAGTGTCATTCCGGAAGTGCAAGTCGGAAGGAAGTAGAAAAATATATCTCGTCTTTGTGATGAGCGACGGGCAGGTTGAAATCCAAACAGGTTCAGTCAGCGGCTCCGTTACCGACATCGACGCGTGTTTCCGAGCCCGTCGGAGCTCCGTGACTCCCGTTAGGAGGTGTCTCAGCCCGGTGTGGTTTCCTCTCGAGCGGCGGGATGGCTGTTTTAACCAGCAAAGCTCTTCACGAGCAGCTCTGTATCATCATGGGCGCGCTGACTAAGGCGGCGGTGGCGGAGATCTGCGAAGTGGTGGACGAAGGTTACGCGGTGCTGCAGATGGAGATCACCCGCAGCCACAAGGAGAACGAGGACCTGAAGAAGAAGCTGCACCTCATCGAGTCCATTGTGGTCCGGGGGAGCGGCGGGGGGAACGCGGCGGCACTGGAGTTCGCGCCGGCCGCGGAGGGCGCACAGCAGGCGGAAACACAGCAGCAGCAGCAGCAGCAGCAGCACCGGGACGGTGATGGAGGAGCCACCGCCGTGGCTCCCGGAGGAGATGGAGGAGGTGCCGTGGTGGCGCGGGAGGAGGTAAACACAGCCGGCCTCGTTTCATCTTTGTCACAGTAAACAGTTTGACCTCATTACGGTTACCATAGTGATGAAACAGCTAGTCGACTAGTCGATCATCAAGTTATGTTCATTTTTAGGGACAGTGCACGTTGATAAGCAACAAGCATCCATAGACTCTGGACAAATGTCACAATAAATAATAAAAGTTAGGGACTGTTCGTTACTTTATGGAGGGGGGCATGTCAAATCATTTTTAAGCAATAGGAGGGATTTAAGTTTTTTTTTTTGGCTGAGGGGAGGGGCTTACAACTTTAAATGGTTATATGTTGTGTTTATTTTGTCATGGAGTTTTCAAAGAATATGGGCAGGTTTAAAAAAAAAAAATCGCCAAAATTACACCATTTGTCATAGCCGGAAACTGTAAAAACAGAAAATATCATTGGATTTTCACGTTTTTAACGGCTCTTGGAAACATGATGTGCGATGAAAGCTTCAGTCAGAAAAAATACAATAAAAAATAAAAAATCAGAGCTTAGAATAATGCTACTGAATCAAAATCACGTAACTATACGAATACTTTACATTTGTCAAAAATAAAGCTTTTTTTCTCCCAAAAACTAAAAACTGAGGCTTTCATTTTCAACTTTTAACTTTCAAACATCAAAGGGTAAATTTTAAAAACCTAACATTGATTTATGATGGCGGGAAGGTCGTATATTTTCCCCCAGTCACTCAGGGAGGCTCATGCAGAAATATTTGTAGCGTTGGACAGTTCCAAAATAAAGATTAACGACAAGGAATCACACCCCCAACCCTCTGATAAGTAAAGAACAGTCCCTTATTGAGATACAGGGCAATAAAGGCAAATTACAGGAGCCAACAGCGCTTGTTATTTTTAATGCCTTTATCTCCACATCTGCAGTGAATTGTTTCCTTATCTGGAGAAAACAAGCTTTGTTATCTCCAGATAACCTGATAATTAACTCAAGATAAGGCCATATAAAAATGCAAGCACTGCCGTTGTCAGCTTCATAGAAAATTAATTATTCATTTATTAATCTGTAATCGAGTGTTTTTAAGACGTTTCTGTTTGGCATCATTGTAAACTGATTTGGGGTTGCAAATAATGATTATTCTCATCATTAATCTGTCGATTGTTTCCTTAATTAGTTTAGAAAATGAGAGAAAATAGTAAAAAAAAAAAATGCAAGCAAACAAGGTAAACAAAGCACAAGATTAAAAAAATATCACCTTATGCACATTTGGAGCTCTGGATTAGAGTTCTCTCTATTATATGGCGGTTGTTTGCATCTAATTATAATTTATTCTCACAATATTAGACCTTGTGTCCTCTCTCAGGTTACAAATTGTCCTCTCACGAATCTAAAAAAAAAAAGTATTTTTGGACTTAATGGCCACCATACATGTCACTTCTGCCTTAATGATAATATTTGATTTTCAAGTAGATACAGTCCACTGCATCCTTTCATAACGTGGCATTCGGCCTTAAGGATATACTGTATATCAAACACTGTGTACACTGACAGCAGGCGAGGTTGCAGTTATATTTAATCCCATATAATCTCTCGATCAGACGTTAATCATCTCCTTATCGGTGCTGCGCCTGCTCTGTGCATGTTGAGCACTTATCTCAAGATAACCATTATTTATTTTTTATCTCAGTCTTATTACCTTGGGCTGAAAGGCGTATTTTTGTGATAACATGTTAATTATATTGTTATCTTAAAAAACCCAAAGGCTATTTTTTTCAATAATGTGATAATTACATGGAGATTTTGAGATAACGGGATTAAAACATAAACTGCTCTCAAGTTTCCAGACAAAAGCAAAGGTGTGAAAGGTTATCTCAGTCAGTCACTCACAAGTCTTGTTAACATTTGAACAGTTGTAGTGAATCACTCGGCCGTAGCTTCGTCTTGAGCAACTGTTGGAACTTAATCCAGTGATACAACCATCACTGATTTCCTTTTTTAATTATGTTCTCATTAAAACTTTAATTAACCTTAAAGATGAGTCAGCCAGTCAGCACAGAAGAGACACTGTATCTTGATTAGTTTGCATGTTATCGACTTTATCTCAGTTTCAAAGATAGAAAATTCGTATTTCATGTTTAAATGCATCACTTGCCTGATTGTTTGTTTAATTCTTGTTTGTTGATGTTAATAATTGATTTTTATATTTATCGAACATTCGTTTTATTCCTCTTGTGGCTGTACGACTGTTTTAATTCTTATATTAAATCTTTTCCAGCTTCCAGACGTGGTGTTGATCAAAGATGAAGACTCGGACAGTAACGACGCCTTTGAGGACGGTGAGTGCTGCTGACGTGTCCCGTGTCAAAATAAAAGTCAACACTGACTTATTTTTAACAGAGACGGTTGTTTAGACTGACGTACCATGATATGCCTTTATTGTAACCACGTAGTTTTTGCATCAACCTGAAGAAAGCGAAAGCTCACGAAACCATTTCCTGACGTTGGATATGCAAACAGCCGTTTAATGGGCTGTGAACCTAATAGTAGGTGTGGCGCACTGCTTACCCCGCTCTCCTGGGTGAAAGTTCTGTGTTTGTTTGAACCATCCACCACCCTGCTTTCCCACCCATCTGATGAGGACTTTGTCACTCTTTATACTACGTCACCTGACTTCTTCCTTTGCTGCCATCATAGTTATAATGGCCATGTGAGGTCCTGCCTAACAGTAAAGGTAAACAGCCTTTTCATGGCCTGATAATGGCCCACTGAGCCTAACGGATGTGACAGGCCCCTTCTGACCCATATTTCTGACGCTCAATAGAGTGCTCCAGGGATGATGTTTTTCTGTAAGCCCATGCAGAAGTTAGCGTCACTCTGCTTCCCTTCTCAAAGAACCACAATAGGATTTTTCTGTTGGCTTTTGGATTATTGCAGAAAATAAATGTGTGATACTTACACATTTGTTTAGCAAGATAAGCTTCACAGGTGAACACCACTTTCATTATTTCTGAAGCGTAAATGCAATCGGCAGAAGTAAAAAGCTAACAGTATGACGTCAATATGTCAACAAGTTGAGGTACTGTGACTATCATGATATGAATTTTTCATAATATATTAAAAATTGTACCGGTGTTATCGAGAAGGAGATGACATGGCACACCTCTATTACTGACGCATTTCATGTTGTAGAATAAAAGGTGCAAAGAGCCACAGACTGTTAGAGGAGGGAACTGGGAGTGCTAAAATGCTAACTCATTTCCAGGTTCGAGGACTCATTCCTGGGGCACTCTGTAACCACAGATAAAAATAACAACCAAACCAGCTGGTGTAAACAAGACAGAGTTTTTTAGCCTCTCGGTCGGGACCAAAGCGGGGTGCACGTTCCTGTTTGTAGGGCTGTAGTCTCCTAGTCGATTATTTGGTCGCTATGCTCTCGTCCGACCAAATTCTCATTGGTCGAATATTTGCCGTGTTACTTTCATAAGGAGAAAAGTGCTACATCAACAGCTTTCCAGGATTAATCCATTATTTCCTGCGGCGGGGGGACAGGCTAAGTTACCTGTGAAAATAGGGTGTTTTCAAAACGCCCCCGTTGGTGACAGAAAGTTGAACTCACCCACCCTCACGCTCAGTGTCAGACCTCCTGTCTGTCTCTGTAAGCTGAAACCATTTCCCTCAGTGGAAACGAAGCTTGTATTTACTTTAATTTCACAGATAAGAAACAATAAATTGTGAAGACAATAAAGCCTCCACTAAAATAGCATTTTAAGTCTTATGTGTGATTTATCCTGGCTTCATATGAGAAGAGGAAAAGATCGCTAGACGCTAGGCTAATTTACACAATGTAAAATGCCATAGGCTTGTGCTAATAACGTTAGCATGTTGTATTTGTGGGGAAAATGTGTCCAGATGAAGACAAGTGTTTGTCTGTGAATGCTGCGAGTTATAGTGAAGCTGATTTGTGTACTTGTGTTTGAAATTGTCTCTGTTAAGCCATGTTTAATGTGTGTTTAATGTGTGTTCTGAATCAATTAATTAATTATAAATAAAGTTTGATTTGAAGTAAACTTTACAGCACTTAACACAGTCCTCCACCGCGACTAGTGTTTTGGAGGTGTAACTGCAGAGTGACACAGACACACCACCGCACAAGTAAAAATAACTTGCAGATTTTTTTCCCCCACGACTAATCAATTAGTTGAAGATTATGTGCGACTTTAGTCGACCAAGATTTTCTTCGGTTGGCTACAGCCCTACCTGTTTGATGACTTTGCACTTTCTATCACTGTCTACTTTTACCTCACAATTAAGACAGAGGATAAAATGGTTGTGTTAACTTGTGAAAACACTTCTTATTTACTTGTAAAGTCCTGTCCCATATTATTATTTACCTCTGTGCAGTTTTCTTTGTCAGATAAACCTTAAAACTCATTGACCTGTTTACTCAAGTTGAACTGTGGGAACAAACCTCCACCAACACAGTAGGGCTGCAACGATTAGTCGACGAATCGATGACTAATCGACTATTAAAATAATCCTTGGCTATTTTAGTAGTTGACTAATCTCTCAAGACAGATTCTGCAGATTGTAGAATCTGTCGGCAGCCCTGTGTGAAAGACGACTACAGAGGGCGAGAGGGCGGAGCTTTGAGTTTGAACGACGCTGCGCTTTAGCCAATCACAATGGAGGGGGTGTGGCCGAGACATGCAGGTGTCCCCAGGAAATGTGTACCTACAGAAACAGCAAGCTCCGCGTCCATAGCGACCGCTCCACCCAAAACGCCGTCTCGTCAATGTGAATTTTTTTTTTTTCCAGCGGATGTCTGAGTTACAACATGATTGAGCTAACTGGAGTAGTTTCATGTCGTATCCGACAACAGGAGGCTTTTAACAGATGACGTCCTGATGTTAGCTTTGCTAACTGTCCCTGTCAGCTGCAGCCACTGATGCTTTCTAGACATCGTGATTTCCCAAAACTGAATAAATACCACACATAGCAACACAAAACTGCTTTGCTAGCTCAATCATGTTGTAACTAAGATATCCGCTGGAAAAAATATTTTATTAACGGACCGTTTATTAAGTTATTACCTTATTTTTATACAGTCTATGGCACCGCTAACGGCTAACGTTAACAGCTAACGGTTAGCCCAGCTAATCTACGATAACCATGTTAATTACAAAACACACAGAAATAGTAACGTTTGTTCAATCATTGTGTTTATAGACTTAACAAACATCAGATTAGTCTACACGGTGATATAGTGATGTGAAAAATGTGATATATAGCTAAACTCTGCTGGTTTTCTACCCGAAGTATTTGTAAACAACACGGCGATTCCCTGGGGGCACCGCCGGAAGTGAAGGGCGTGAGCGATCGCCAAGGCCCCTGCACTTCCGTTAGTCGAAAAACTCCGGGCTGTGCCTCCAGAGGTAAAGGAAGAAAAAAAAAATTTTTTTCTTTTTTTTTTACCGATGGATTTCCAGATTGGTAGTTGACTAATCGGTTTGAGTCATTTTTCATATAAAAGCACCCCAAAATATTCTTACTGCAGCTTCTTATGTTCAGATATTGGCAGCTTTACACACTCTCCCATGACGGTGAACTAAAACCCTTTGGCGTGGCGTGAGTATGAAACAAGACATTAGATGACATCATTTTGGGGTTTGGGAGAGACAGACCGACATTTTTCAACATTAACACATTTTTCGATAAAATGATTAGTCGACAATGAAAATAATCGTTAGTTGCAGCCCAAAAACACAGCAGCCCGCTGTATTTTTAATGCATTTTTCATTTAAAGAATAAATATGTTTCACAATTTAAAAGTGTTCGTTATCAATTCAAGATGCACAATGCTCTAAGAATCTGAAAACAAATCACATTTACCAAATATTAAGAGAACCTTTGGACTAAAAAAAAACCCTGATCTAGGAAATGAGAGGCAGGACTGTAACAGTGAGAGTACGTGTTGTTTCAGGTCAGCCATGCGTTAATGTCCTGTATTTGAATCAAAGGTTGAATTAACAATAATAATAATAACCATAATAATTATGACTTTATTAAAGACACAAAAAGGCCCATAATAATTAAACAAAGACAACATATATAAATGAAGTGTAAATACGTAGCAGTCGATTTGCACCTTCATATTACACTTCAGCCACATACAGACTGCAGCACCAGTGGCTCAACTCAGTGTGTGAATAATAACATTCATAAAAAACTAGTTTAGATTACATGAACAGGAAAAACCTGTTTTCAACACAATCTGTCTTTGTTAAGTTAGTCCATATTTGTTGAGTTACTTGATCATCCAAACACTGCCAGTTCTTTGCTGTGATAAATATCTGGTTTGATTTTCGAGATCCGAAACGTGAAGTGAAAACTAGGCGAGCAGGATGCAACGTACTGGAAACACAGTTTTCAGCTTGGTTTTGTATTTTGTCTTTTCTCGCAGGTAACACAACACCTGCTGATGGAGGGACGGCTGCAGCCAGGGAGGCCGCCACCTCGACTCCCATCAGCCGGAGTACGAAGAGACACTGGCCGGCAGGCGAGGAGGCCAACAGGAGGTCGTCCTCTGAGCCAATTACACTGAAAACCACAGGGGCACAGAAGAAGAGCGTCACCGTCTACACTCTGGACTCTCCTCGCAGCGAGCCAGGCTGCTCCACCCAGCATGGCGGTGATGAGATGGAGGCTGGCGACTCAGTTTGTTCCTACTCTGCACAGATGGACGCGGACGTCCAGCTGGTCCACCAGGAGTCCTCACTGGTCCCTCCGAGTGCTAACAGACAAACGTATTTTGGTAACAGCGCTCTGATGGAGTCCCCCACAAACAGAGCAGAACTAGATCTCAGCCTGACGTGGACCAAACAGTCGAAAAGTCAGATGAGTTATACTCAGTTTCACCAAAACGAAAACCTGGACAGTGATGCTTTCGGGCTTAAGATGATCAGCGTCACAGGCTCGACCTCCACAGACTGCCAGCTGTCTGAAAGCAGCAACTCTGCATTTGAGTACGACGATGCCGACATGATGAACTACGGCCTCTACAGGGACCAATCGGGGCGACCTCAGCTCAGTCATGGGCAGCTGAGCACTCGAGGGAAGCGCTTTGCATGCGCCATCTGTTCTAAGACATACGCCACGTCTCAGAACCTGGACGTTCACATGCGGATTCACACAGGCGAGAGGCCGTTCAGCTGCAGCCAGTGCGGCAAGAAGTTCACCCAGTCTGCTCATCTAAAGTCGCATCTGAGCGTTCACTCCGGAGAGCGGCCGTACGCCTGCACGCTCTGCTCCAGGAGCTTCATCGTCAAATACAGTCTCAAGTTACACATGAAGAAATGCCATCCCAACGTCTGAGTGAATGAACGTGTGCAGGTCTCATTCCAAAATGTTCTGTTCTGTAAATACACAGTTTTAAAAGGAAGAAATGTTATTTAACACTCACAAATAATAAGTTTTACAAATGTGCAGAAGACACATTGAGTTTCAAGGTTTTAGATGATTTAAAGTCTGTTCTTTTAAAGAATGAGTTTAACTTTGAGCTGCAATAATTAGTCTATTAAACAACTATTTTGTTAACTGAAGTTATTTTTAAAGCATTTGAACAAATAATGTTTGTTGCTTCTCAAGTTTGACTTTCTTTTGTTAGCTTTATAGTACACTGAATATCTGTAGGTGTCGCTCAGTTAAAATGACATTTGAGGACGTCACATTGGGCTTAAAGAAATGTTTCAATTTTTAATGCTGAAAAGACCAAATAATTAATCGAGGATATAACTGGCAGATTGGAGAATCTAAAAATAAAAGGTGCCTGATTTTGGAATGAAACTTTACTCAGTCTCTGCTGTTATAAAGTCTACAGGTGTAACAGTGTACAGGTACAAAAGGTTAATAGTTGTGTAAAAAGCAAAAGCACCGTCTTATAAGGTTTGTGTCATTCTTTGTTAATAAAACAAATTTTAAAAGTGTTTTGTATCAGTTATTTCCTTTTATTAAGACAGATTTGTCACACAAGGAATTACGGGTATTTAAGGTCATTTGTGAAACTGTAGCCGTCAATGATTAGCACTGAAGTCAAGATCAGCTGTAGCAGTAACTTTATCTTAATGATGTGCGTTCTTGCAAAAGAGAAATCAAAAGGTTTTTTTTTTAAACATATAACAAGATATTTATCCTGTTAACCCTGAAACAAACAGGAGCCGTGTATAACAACATATAAAAGACTGTTGTTTTAAAGAAACTTAAACATGAAACTTAACTTTCAATTTGTTTTCCATCTCTGGTCGTCATTGTCATCGTATGGAAGGATGAAAGACAACAATGGTCACATTTTTTAGACAAACTAGTGTCACATGTGCATTCACGTTTAGTCTATTTGCAAACCAGTTTAAAGACCAGTTGGCTGTGTGTCCAGCTGGGACAAACCTAACTTGTTTCCAGGGGTCGGATCATGGATGAATTAATTACCCGGCTTACTGGACTCGGGCACAGGGGCCAAAGGTTTAGGGGGCCTCTAACTGCCTGTTAATATTGACTGCTGCAAAGTCAATAATGACAAATTAAATTCCTACATAGAAACACAACACAGCCACAAGGACACACAAAACAACTACAAAGAGACACAAAGTGATTACAAAGAGGCAAATGACTCCACAGAGATGAAAAAAAAACAGGACTTTGAAGAGATGCAAAACAAACACACAGAGACACAACTACAAAGAGAAACAAAGCAGCCACAAAGACACACAAAACCATAACAAAGAGGCAAATTACCACAAAGAGACGCAAAAAAGAGATTTTAAAGACATGCAAGTTGACAACAAAGACACAAAGACACACAAAATAATTGCAGAGAGAAACAAAGTGACTACAAAGACACAACGATTACAAAGACACCAATGACTGCAAAGAGACACAAAAAATACAAGGACACAAAACAACTTTAAAGAGACACAAAACTACAACAAAGAGATACAAACCAAACACAAAGAGACACAAAACTACAGAGAGAACAGGGACATAAAACAACCTCAATGAGATGCAAAACCACTACAAAGACTCACAAAACAACTACAAAGAGAAACAAAGCGATTACATAGAGGCAAACGACTACAGAGAGGTGCCAAAAAATACAAAAAGACTTGAAAGAGATTCAAAAGAACTACAAAGAGACACAAACAGATACTGAAGAGATGCAAAAGGATATAAAATATGCAAAACAGTAAGAGACAAAAAGGAACACAGACACAAAACACCTGCAATGAGAAACAAAGTGACAACAAAGAGACACAAAACTACTAGAAAGAGATGCAAAATGTTTACAAAGAAACAAAACTACTACAAAGAGATACAAAACAACTAAAACGAGAAACAAAGTGACAACAAAGACACAAAACGATTACAAAGAGACAAATGACAACAGAGGGATGCAAAAATAGGAAATACAAAGAGACACAAAACTACAAAGAGATGCAAAACTAACAGGAAGGCAAAGAGAAACAAGCAACAACAAAGACAAGACGATTACAAAGATGCCAATGACTGCAAAGAGACACAAAAACTACAAAGACACAAAAGGATAACAAAGATGCAAATGAAGACAAAGAGATGCAAAACCACTACAAAGACAAACAAAGCCACTACAATGGCACAAAACGATTATAAAGAGGCAAATGACTACAGAATAAAGAATTGGAAGAGATGCAAAACAACTACAAAAGAGACAAGAGGATACTGAATAGATGCAAAAGGATATAAAATATGCAAAACAACAATAAAGAGACACAAAGGAACACAGACACAAAACAACTGCAAAGAGAAACAAAGTGACAACAAAGAGATGCAAAAATAGAAAATACAAAGAGACACAAAAGACTTTAAAGAGATGCAAAACAACACAAAGAAAAACAGAACAACTACAAAGATAAACAAAGCAACTACAAAATGCCAAATGTCATGATTTCCTGGTTCCAGAGGAGAATTTAGCAGCACTGAAACAATTAGTTGAGTATTTGAAGAATTGACAGAAAAATAATCTTCAACAAATTTGACAATAAATTTCATTAATAATAATTATGCAGTAATGTACAGAGGCATATAACACATACATTTGAGAAACAAAATTATTTTTTTTCTGAATTAATGAGATTATTATTTTGCTAATTCTGAAAAACAAGCCCAAAATTATTTATTATTCAATATACAATTATTATTGATTAATAATATTGTAAATGCAGAAAACAGGGCAGTTTCTTTTTTTATGAAGTGAATGCATGAGGTTTCAGCTCTTGTAGTGAGTTATTAAACTTTGGGGAGTTTTGGACTGCTGCTCTGACAAGAAAAAGTAACATGACCACTGGTTTTATAGAGACCAGAAGATAATCGACACTGGAAGTAACTGGGAGTTTTGACCTTGAGATGCTTTAAATAAAGGTGTGTTCGAGGTCACACTGGATTTAAGAGCTTCAGATATAGATGTAAAATAAAAAGGGTTTTTTCTTGGGTCCATGGATGTGCACATGCGCATTGCTGTCATACTGAATATATTTGAGAATAATGTAAAATGATACTTTGCACATGCGCACTGTGGGTCGTCTCTAGTCATTGCTACCCCCGCATCACTTCCTGGTTTTCTCGACACTGTTTACATCAGGTGGGATTCTACTTTCACATAAACGCAGAGGGCGCGTGCGTTTCTGTGTTTTGTCACCTGCCTCGTGCCAGTAATCTGGATTGTTCTGTTTCAACACGCGCACGCGGAGGGTTATTAAAATCATGTCTCCGGCCGCTGCCTTCCACGCGCAGCTCGCCTCCATCATGGAGGTGCTGGCCAACACGGCGGTGGCGGAGATCTGCGAGCTCGTGGACAGCGGCTACTCGGTGCTGCAGCTGGAGATCTCGCGGAGCCGCAAAGAGAACGAGGTGCTGCGGAGAAAACTGCGGCTCATGGAGCTGCGAGCCGCGCGGGCGTCCGCCCTGCGAGCCGCGGCCACCGCAGGCGGCAACGCGCTGCTGCTCGCGAGCAGCCGCGCGCGTGCTCAGCTGCCTGCTCATCACCTGGGCAACGGGCCAAGGAGGAGCGGAGCACCTGGAGGTAACCGTTCAGACCGTAAGTTACAGTACGACAGTACGGAAGCCCATTTCCGCCTGTGAGATGACAAAAAGATCCTGTAGGTCAGTCTGATGAGAAACTTCCTTAAAATGATGAGCTCATATCTCAAAATAATGAGGGACTTTACTAAAATAAGGTGTTAGTGTCTCAAAATAATGAGGGACTTTACTAAAATAAGGTGTTAGTGTCTCAAAATAATGAGGGACTTTATTAAAATAAGGTGTTAGTGTCTCAAAGTAATGAGGGACTTTCTTAAAATGATAAGCTCCTATCTCAAAAATAATGAAAAACTCATAAAATAATGAGAAATTTAAAACTTAGTATCTCAAAAATAATAAAATAACAATATTATTGTTAATTCAGAATACAAAAATGAATAAATAAATAAGTTTGTATCTTAAAATAATGTGAAATTTTTCTAAAGTAAAAAAAGTTAGTAACTCAAAATAAAACTTTTCTTAAAATAATAAGTTAGTGTCTCAAAATGATGAGAAACGTTCCTAAAAATAACTAAATAAATAGATAAGTTAGTTTCTCAAAAATAATTAAACTGTTTCAAAGAAGTATCTTAAAATAATAAGAAACTTTCCCAAAAATAAATAAGTTACCATCCCAAAATATTTAGAAACTAAAAAAAAAAAGTTAGTATCTCAAAATGATGAGAAACTTTCTCATAATACTGTGTAAATATCTCAGAATAATGAAACTTTTTCATCCCAAAAAGATGATTTTAGTTATCATCCCAAACTGATGATACATTTGAACATTTCTCATTATAATGATTTACAGGATCTTCTTCTCTTCCTACTATGGCACGTCATGTCTGCTGTAAAAAGGGCCTATTACAAATATTAATACAAAGTATGTATCAGTTAATAAATTATGATACAGATTAAGCTATAGCAATATCTACAGTAATGTGTTTTTAAGGTCCACGTACTGCTTTTTTCTCCCAAAGCTTTCTACTGCATCTTATGGTATTCCACACAGGACGAGGTTCACTCTGTAGACATGGAGACTGCTCCTCCTCAGTACTACTCAGAGTTTCCAAAGTTCATCCACTGATGAAGACAGTGAGATGTGATTGAAAGCTCGGAAAAAACAAGTGGACCTTTAGCTAAGATTTTTCTTTGTCCCAATTCCAGACTACAGTATGTACAACATACTATGAGTGTACGCTGCGCTGTGTACATGCTTGGCTGTTAATATAAAAAACTAGTTGAATTAGTGTCATACAATAAATGAGGTGTTTTTAAAAGACGTTTTTAGCATTATGAGCAGTTTATGATCCATAACTAAAGTGTCATCATGACTTACCTCCTCCAGGTGAGGCCAGGCGGTCCACAGTGTCCAACCAGGAGACTCTGCAGTGCCGAGACCCCGATCCGTCCTCAGACTCTGGACAAGATACCACACAGGGGACGGTGAGTAGAGCTGGAATGTTAGCAGGACGTCACAGCTGCAGATTATAGTCTTCCCTCTCCCTCTCTGTCTCGGGTCTTTATTCTCTCTGTGCTCTGATTGCAGCCTGCTGCAGGTGAGCCTACCAAAGTGACGACTGCAGTGATCAAAGTGGAGGATGATGATGAGTCCTGGTCCCAATCTGAGCAGGACAGTAAGTACAGTTTTAGTAAACTGAGACCTTATTTTTGACAGGGCTGGCTAACTTCACTAACTGTACTCAACACTGCACATTTGCAGGTAAGCAAGCATACCAGTCAGCTCAGTGTTATGTAACAGCACAGACTGTCCAATTGCCACAATGCAACACGGATCTAAAGTTTTAAAGGTGTAAAGTTAAGTGCATTTAACATACATTTATCTGATCATTTCAAATGATCAGGTTCAAGTGGTTCAAGTAAAGTGTTCGTCTCTTCTCACATGTAACTGCAGCTCAAATCGCTGGTATAAATCTGCAGATATGTGCACGTGAAATATTGTTAAAGGTGCGACTTCTGTTCTTCTTTCTCAACAGAAGAGTTTTGCCATGTTGCAGACGGTCAGACAACAGAGACAGAAGCCCCGCCTCCACTGACCAAACAGGAAGTAGCAGATGAAGGTGGAGGTTCGTCTCGGTCGTGGGCGAGCGGTGAAGTCAGCTCCACCTCCATGTCCGTGCAAAAAACCCTGAACACCAGCCAGAGGTCAGAAACCAGCAGTTATGAATGTCTGATGTACGAGCCACAGCTCCAACATGGCTCCCTCAGTACCCAGAATCCTCTGAGTGAGGATCCCGGCTGCTCGTACGTGTTGAACACCAGCGTGAGTGTTTCAGCTGCGTCTGATTCAGGCAGCAGCAGCAGCAGCTTCCCTTTCACCATCACAGAGGTGAGTCTGCCTGCAGCCGAGCACCAGCAGCCTGCAGGTTTCCAGAACAACCAGCAGAGGGCGCCGCTACCCGCAGACGAGCCTCAGCTTCCTGTGAGGAAAGAGATGACAGAAAGACTCAATGCGTTCATCAGAAGGGACAGATGGAGACCTCAGGATGGTGTCAGCAGGGCGTCCAGCCAAAGCAGGGAGGACGGCGCGGGGAAGTCATTTGTCTGTAACTGCTGCGGTAAAACTCTGGCCTGCCTGAAGAACCTCAAGACCCACATGAGGGTCCACACAGGAGAGAAGCCGTTTGTCTGTGCGCTCTGCGGCAAACGCTTCTCCGACTCCAGCAACTTGAAGCGCCACCAGAGCGTCCACACCGGAGAGAAGCGCTACGGTTGTGTCCACTGTGGGAAACGCTTCGCCCAGTCAGGATCCCTGAAGGTCCACATGACCGTCCACACAGACTGCAAACAGTTCAGGTGTTCTTACTGCGGCAAAACTTTCATCTCCGGCAGCCACTTGCGCCGCCACGTGACCGTGCACGCTGGGGAGAAACGATTTGCTCCAACGTTTCAGTGACTGAGGGGGAATTATGAGGTCATATCTCACAGGAGCCTCATGTGCGAGCAAAGTAACAAACACATGGAAACACGACACCACGGCCCAGATGAGAACAACTGTTCAAGCTCAGCTCCTTCTCTGAAAACTTGACCACACTGTGTTTGTTTCCACACAAAAAGTCACCTCATGTTTTGGTCATTGTGGTGATTTTAGTTATCTTTCAGCGTGAGGCCTAAAAAAAGATGAACACAAAATTGTATTAACAACCATTCGAAGCAGGCAGCTGCCCCGGGGCCACAGGGGGCCCCAAAAGTCACTGCTTGTCAGTTGGTTTTGGTGATTTGCAAAGTTTTATGTAAATCTTCAGATCACTAAAGTCCGATATCAACTAAAGCACTGTAGAGGAAGCCTGTGTCAAAATCTACTTTTAAGAGACGATTAAAGCACTACTACATGAGGTGGCGTTTAATCCAGTGACCACAAACGGACACCCTGGTCCAAGTGGTACTCCTGCAGATGACTATTGTTTGGGGTCTGAGCAAAAGCTGTGTGCTCTGGACTTAATGGGAACCTGCGGGTGACAGGGTTCATTTCCAATATAAGGCTGCAACAAATTATTATTTTCAGACTGATTCTCTGATCTGTTGGTTATTTTTTGACAAAATATCCAGAAAGTGAAAAATGTCCAACACAAGTCATAAGAGATCAAAGTGATGTCTTCAGATCGTTTTGTTTTGTCCAACCCACAGTCTAAATCATGAGATATTAAAGCTGGAGTACGGGAGTTTTGGCAATGGGAGTAATTTCATACAAACACTGTTAACGTGTGGTTGTAATGCACGCCTGTATGTAACCAAACACATCTCCCCGCCCAAGGAGGCCTCTCTTCAGATCTTTGTCTTTAATCCTTCCTCTGAACGCCAAGTGTCTTTTATGCCTCCGCATCGGCGATAGCCGTGACTGGAGGCATTATGTTTTCACATTGTATATCCATCTGTGTGTCCCATTGTCGGGAACGCATTAACTCAGAAATGCCTTAAGGCAGGTGCGTTGTTTTGTTACCTATCAAAGGTAACTGTAGCTTTTGGCCAGGAGCAGATATCATCAGATGGTACCCAACTGTCACAGTGTGTTTTGGCCCTCAACCACAACACACTCTAGTTGGAGGGCCGACAGTGTTTGGCCAAATCACTGCCTATCTGCTCCTAGCCTCCAGCGTTCTTCCTCTCTTACTCCAAATCCAGCAGGAGGCTCGTTCAGCCTCCTCCCCCATCTTGCAAGCAGCTTGTTTTTATGCTCCTTTTGTCAAGGCCCAGAGCTGATAATAATCGCCATGCTGACTTGGCTGGGAAACCTCTGCATCTGATCTCCACCGGGAAGAACCACGCCTGCCAACCTTTGTCCTTATAATCCTGGACTAAGGACTGGTACTTCAACGCCTTCCTCTGGTGGGCCACTTCGCAGCCTTCCTCCCATGGCACTGTTAGCTTGACCAGAATTATCTTCTGGTCTTTGTTTGACCACAGCACAATGTCTGGCCGGAGGGTTGTGTGCACCACCTCCGGGAACTGCAGCCTTCTTCCCACGTCAACCGCCATCTCCAAGGAACTGGCGGCTTGCAACAGATTGGATTTTGCTCTCTTGGTTGAGAAGAGCTTCTTCAAATTTGGCACAAACATCCACTTGGACTCAAAGATGTACTCAGTTGGTGGGTGAAGGTCAAATGTCACTGTAACCTTGCATCCCTCTCATTCTTGTGAGTGCAATTTCTCAAGAAAGCCTTGAGGTTTTTTTCTCAAATTAGGCACAAACGTCCACTTGGACTCAGGGATATTAATTAGAATTAAGTGGTCAGAGGTCAAGGTCACGTTGACCTTGTGTTTGTCTTAATTTTGTGAACACGATATCTCAAGAACACCTTGAGGGAATTTCCATATTTGGCACAAATGTCCACTTGGACTCAAAGATGAACTGATTCAGATTTTGGTGGTCAAAGGTCACTGACCTCACAAAGAATGTTTTTGGCCATAACTTAGAATCATGACAAAATTTCACACATATGTCTTACAGGATAAAATGATTGTTAAACGACATTTTATATCCAAAAGGTCAAAGGTCAACTTCACTGTGACATCATTAAGTTTTGCAAAAACAAAACAGAAGGGGAGACATTTGGTCAGATACTGAATTTGTGACACTAATCTTGGGTGTCCATCTTGAAATTGTGCTGACTGTATAGATTCTCTGTGCTGCCGGGGGGAAGACGTGTGTGAAGCATCCACGTTTAAGAATACGTAGCTTCTTTGCTGCAACATCCATGTTTGAAGTACTGTCAACTGTCATGGCTTCACGTGTCTGGACAGACATGGATGTAAATTGCAGCTTCACTGGTTTGCTGATGCATGCAACCACACGTGGTAATTCTTGAAGCATCCACTTAAACTTTTCTTGGATGCTTTTTAGGATTTTCTGCCGTAGCTTTCTTCATGCTCATTGCTGCTGCTCCGTTGAGATGGTCTCTCTCTCCTTCCTGCCCCCTTTAGATCCAGCTGGTTGACGTGAAACGCGTCACTTCAGGTGTGCCAGCGTGGAAAAGTCGCCACAGACACCACAACTCCAGTATACTGGGAGTACAGAGAGCCTTCCCTGCAGTGATGGGCTTCATCAGTATTGTGTCAACTCATTTGGCTCGAATGTAACGGATGTTCATTTCTTTGTAAAAGTCCTGTGCTCCAGCTTTAAAGTTATTATGACAAAGAACATTAGAAAATCCTCAAGTAAGAAAGCAGAAGCAGCAAATATCTGCCCCTTTTGTTTCCTGATTTAACAACTTCATTATCAAGTTGGTCGCCTCTTAATTTTTTAAAATTTTTTTAAAATTTTAATTGGAGTAATTGTTTTAGCTTTAATACAGTGCACACAAAGTGTTCATGGGGGTTAATACTGTCGGGCCACGATAACTAGTGCTGCCTTTTTCTAAATCTGTTTTAGGGAAAACAAACCAGCAGTGTTTAGCTATTGTTGAGGTGTTGATTCGGCTCAGCGGACATTTTGGAGGACGTCATGTGTTGTGTTGTCGAGGAAATATCCTGTACAGTGTCTCTCTGTCACCTCCTCTTTGCTCATGCCATGTGTAGTCATGATTTTAAACCTTTTCTCTGCCACATTACATCATTCTGTACTTGAGTAACTCTGCAAGTTGCCTCAGAAGCTCACTTATAAACTGTCAGATTCAGATTAAGTGATTTCAGGTTCCTCCTGTGGTTCTTTTGGACCCACAGACTTTACTGTTCTGGGATGAGGCTATCTCACCAACACAAGTTGATCTTATTCTACATCTTAAAGGTTTAAGAAGGTTTATGTCCTGAGAATATTTACTCACTTCATCAGGAGTGTTTGCAGGGTTTCATTTGAACTGCTCAGCTCAGCAGGTGTTTTCACTGATTACTTCCTGTCTTCTACATCAGTGGGTGGAGTCTGTAGATGTGGTGAAAACCTACAGGCTGCCAGAGATGCACCGTCAGCAAGCTTCAACACATCAGTTCACCAGACAGTGGTTCTATAGTACCAAACAGTTCAAAATTAAAAAGCAGAAGCAGCTGAAATTCACAATCTGTTTTTGTCTTCTTTAAGTATTATTTTGGATGATTCCCCTGTTTTTGAAGACAGATCTGCATGTTTGTCTGAACAGTTAATTCTGCAACCAGCAGCTGTTTGTCCAGTCGTTTCTCTCCATCAGTTGTTGAAATGTTGTGAGTTGAATTAAGAGGAAGCAGAATTGTCATGTTTACATTTTGTGATACTGTCATAGATGTTTGTTTTTTATGATTATCATGTCATTTTGTAATAAAAGCAGTTTGGTGGGTCTCGGAAAATTCATGAGCAATAATTATCTGAAAGCAACTGTGAGCAGAAAAGTTGCTTTGTTCATCGTCATAATTAACACCTTTTTCACATTTGTTTAAAAAAAAATCTCTAGTTTAAGGCTGAAATCCAAGATGTTTAAAGGGATACTTTGCTGATTTTCAACCAGCTTCGTATCAACGATGTCAGTAGTAAACGGGCAGATGTTCCGCTGGCTCTGGGGCTGCTGCTCAAACTACAGATTGTACCTCTGCATTTCTGTTGGGGTTAAAAAGAGGAGAAGCCACGGTGTCATATCATGTCATCTTATTACGACTGGACTCAGGAGTTAACATTAAGTAAATATCTGCCACAGTAGGACTTGACCTTGTGCTACAATGCCTTGCAATTTCCCTCAGTGATGAGTCATAGTAATGCCAGTCTTCTTATGTTAGCCTGTGTAATAAGCTAGCACACAAATCTTAACAATCAATCAACCTTTTTATTTAGACTCCAGGTCCATTAAAAAAGACAGACAAACATACAATATTTAAAAAAGACAGTCATACCAGTGTTTCTACATAGCATCCATTCCATTTTCCGCCATTTTGAATTTTTTGAAAAACACTTCAAATGGATCTCTTCCTAGGAAGTTTGCGCGATCTGCATGAAACTGGGTGAACATAATCTAGGGACCAATATCTAAAGTTCACTCTTGGCAAAAGTTGGAAAACTTACTAAAACTGAGCTTCTATAAGGCAATGAATATTGCGGAGGGCGTGGCTCATCACATAAAGGTGTATAACATCTCAAGGGTTTCACCCATCACCACGCAACTTTGTAGGCATATGACCACACATAATCTGAGGGGACCCCTCCATTATTGACCCCATCAAACAAAATGGGGGCGCTAGAGAGCTCATTTCTTATCTAGGCCTAACCGCCATATGGATTTTTACTAAACTTGGTAGATATGTAGAACAGGACGCCTCAAGGTGACTGGAGAAATTTAACTCTAATTGGCAACTGGGTGGCGCTATAACAACAGAAAAATGCTTCAAAATGGCTAAAATGCGACCGATCGCTGTGGCTCCCCCTGTGGACCAATGTTGGTGTTTTCTTCTAATTTTTGGTATGACTAAGTCATGTTATGGTATGCTGCTGCAACAAGGGCTAGCTGCACCTTTCCCATGTGAACTACCAGTGCGCCCCAATTTTAAGTCAATACAACATATAAACACTTTAACTATCTGCCTTTCAACGTGCTACCTCAACTACTAATGTACAGTTTTAGCCCACTAACTATCCCACTATTGGCAATGGTACTACTGTACTTTCAATAAAGCAATCGTACTATCAAATTCACAAACACTCTGTCTGAATACATTGCTCTTCTTAATGGGTTCAGTTGACTATTTAATCTGCAGTTTCCTATGACCTGTATCCCAAACACACACCATGTGAAACTGTACGTGGGCAACTGTGCACTCAGTGGGTATGGACTAGTATTATATTACTTAAATAAAGTCACAGAAAAGTTTTGAAAAAGATTTGAAAACTCATTGGTGAAAATGTGTGGGAACTCTGAGAGAATTCCAGAGCCTCGGGGCCATGATGGCAAAAGCCCAGTCACCTTTAGTTACCAGTCCTGATCAAGGGACGACTAGTGAAGGCAGGCTCCAGGATCTCAGATCACGTGGGCAACTGTGCACTCAATGGGTATGGACAAGTAAGTCAGAACAGCGATTAAGCTCTAACATTTGATGTCATTCACTAAAACCGCAGCTTCCTGTTTCTTTTACCTTCACAAGGATTATTTCTTACTACCATTTACGGTTCTTTTCTCTAAATCATTGTAGGGTGTCTGCTGGCTAACGTTACCAAAACACTGTGCAGTTGTTAACTACGTTCACTGACAAATAAACGAACAAGTACCAGTAAGTGATGAAGGTCCAAATTCATGATAATTTGGCGATATGCATCACCTCCTGTTTATATTGGAAACATTATGGAGCTGGCTAAAATCAGCCCTTCTGAATGTTATTAAATATCATTATTATGGATTCTGGTAGTTGTAGTTGTTCCACCTCGAGTCAACGCAAATGCCATAGCCCTTTCTCCTGTGTTCTCTTTTCATACAGCCCCAATTTCAAAAGTATTTGAGTCTTTCTGCTGCATAGACATCCTAGTTTTATGAAAAGATCAACTTTCCAGCAGTGAAATTATTCTTTAAGAGGTCTCATTGTGAGCACTGAACATTCTCATCCACCATTTTCCTCCAAACTATTGCACATGTAGGCTGTATGTAGACTGTCACCAAGCGTACATGTGGATGTAAAATTTATTAAATAACAAATGTAGAGTCTTGGATGGAGGTTTGCACACTTCTGGGTGTTGTGTTAGTTTCCTAAAGAGTTTGTTTTACTGCCGTTACACTGTGGAGATCTCATATTGTAGTTTGTGAGATTAATTATTTTAGTTTAAATGACGTTTTCCTGTCTTTGTCCTCTTTCTGACTGAGCCAGCATTCACTTTTCATTACAATTAATAACTTCTTATTTTCTTTTACATTTTTGTCATATACTGGTATAAAATGAGGATTGTTGGGTAAAATGTATGTTGATGTTGCCTAATGTCAAGTCTCTATTTGATCATGTGACGATACGATACGACACAGGAGCTAATTCAAGACTGACAAGTTGAGCACATTGACAAGTCCAGTGAGCAGTGGTGCCTGTGTGTGTGTGTGTGTGTGTGTGTGTGTGTGTGCACTTTATAACTAGTAGCTGGCTTGCACTAGGGTCCGTCACAATAGCGTGCACTGGGGCCCGTGGTAACTACCTACCTAACTACAGTCTCAAGCATCAGGGGTGTAACTGGTTAACATTTATTTGATGAGAAACATTTGAGTTTGAAAGCTCTGAGCTTCAGTGTTAATAACAAAACAACCATGAGAAACATCCTGTTTTTTATTTCACTTCAACCAGCTGAAACAGGATGAATTTCTTTATCAGTCAGCTGCACCTGTAAAGTGATTTTTATTTGTTCTGAGAAAAACGCATCACACTGAAACACAGAGAAACTTGCAGGTCACAGCTCCACTGCACAGAAATA